AAGAAGAAGAAGAAGAAGAAGAAGAAGAAGAAGAAGAAGAAGAAGAAGAAGAAGAAGAAGAAGAAGAAGAAGAAGAAGAAGAAGAAGAAGAAGACCCTATCGTCGTGTTGCTACAAGTAGTGTCTCGCCCATATGGGTGTGACTCTCTCTGTGAAAAAAAGAAGCTTTCTCTACAACTAATATTATCATTATCATCGGCTGGAGCTTAATTTCCGCGCTAATTAATTTCTAATACGCGTCATTAGCCGCCCCACACACATCACGACACGCCACACACTGCGCACCGCCGGGGAAGGTTCGAGGTTCGGCTTTCAGATTGAAATTAATTAGAAAGGTGGGGTGGGTGTTGATTTAAGGACATGCTGCTGCTGGCACACCGGTTGGTACACCGCTAAAAAAATAATTTGGCAGGGGAGCCGGCGCTCGTTCAAACTGCTGGGACCGAACGGCTCAACGATCGTTGATATGCTGATGATGTGAAATAATAATTTTAAAAAATTGCAGGCAGGTCGCTTGTTTGTATGTATCATGCATCTTCGAGATGACCGAGATCTCGAAGCATCGCTCATACGAAAATAAACAAGACGAGTCCCTGCGCAAATCGAGTGACACTCAAAAATGCAGTCACGACGTGCACGACGGCAATCCCTCTTGGTACAGGGAGGCTGTTGTGCAGAGATCTTCTTGCTGAGAACTTTATACTGGTGGTTATTCTTCCTCCACATAAAGGGTCATTTGGGGAGTTACGATAATGTTTACACTTTATCAATCAGGACTATTCAGCAGAAATAGGGGACGTTTCACCAGTTCCATAACCCCCCTCCCCCACCCCCCCACACACACTTTTTTCTACCGTGAAACACTACTTGAGAGGATGGTAATGAGCCCCCAAACAACCACCCGCACCCGGCCGCAATGAAGTCTTGTGGCGAGCGCGGACAGGTGAGGTGGTCAGCGAACTCTTTTCCCTCCTGCTTCTTGGCTATGCGCCGTCCGTAATACACGGCAGAGTCGTGTCCCTAGTATCCCAAACCAAAACCCGTGTCTTCTCTCTCGCACTCACTCACTCATCTCCCGCGATCCCGTTCGCCTATCTCGTTGACCCTCTCTCTCTCACACACACACACATACATAGACACACACCACCGGCATCATCGCCACGACTACTCCTCACTTCTCCTCATCCGCGCGCAAGGGGAAAAACAAATCCGAAACTGAGCTGCAAAAATGATGACAGTCACGAACATCGTGGGCTGTTGTGTTTTGCAGTTGCAGAGTTCGAGGTGGCGACCGTGTGGATAAGGGATCGTCCAGAAAGAACGTCTGTTTTCGTTGGGTCACGGGAGCTTGCCGCCTGCGATAGTCGGGGTAGGCCACCCTGCAGTACACGGGTGCACTGTAGGCGAGATATTGCCTACCTACTAGGCGCTAGGAGAACTTTCAGAGGCCGCCCAGTTCGTAACGGAGTGAATGGCGTGTTTTGTGGAAGATTCCTTAAGAGGGGAAGACTGTCGCGGTGGTCGCGGTGTAACTGGACGGGGAGCGGCCTGCCGCCGGATGCGGGTTACATGGCGGTGACGTGACGGGGTGTGGTTCAGCGTGGCACACGTGTGGACCCCTGCGCCCATAATACCGGTTCAAGCAGAGTTTTTGGATGAACAATTTCCAGGGCAATTTCCAAGGAGTTTCAAATATATTACGCGGGTCCAGGGACCAGAAAGATGCGAAGTTGTCGTGTGATGGTTTTTATTCGCGGTCTGCAACTCTTGTCGCTGATGATGACCCGTTTCCCTCCCACAGGCCGTGTGTCGTGCTGCGGCGATGGGCTGGCGAGCACCATGAGAGCCGCCGAGCCCCCGCGGGGGTCCGCGGCCCGCCGGGGGGCACCCTGGGTGGCGTCCTGGGCGTCACCGCTGCTGCTGCTGCTGGCCTGCGCCCTGGGCCCCATCGGGGGACTCGCCCTCCAGCCGCCCGCGCCGCCCACCTACGTCATCACCCGCCACCTGGAGGGCGACGTCTACACCGCGGCAGGTATGTTGTGGCGGCCCATCAAGTACGAGAGAAGTACTTCACCAAACAAAATTAATGTACAGCCTCAACAACAACAAATAAAATCAATTTGAAAAAAATTAAATTAGAAAATCTGAAGAAAAAAACAGACAAAATAGGGAAAAAACGAAAAATTGGTATACGCTTGCCTTTATAGTGAAACCTTTGCAAGTCCGCTACTCTACTCGCCACCCTTCTGAACCCCCAACCCCGACCCATTCTCGTGCAGCTGGCCAGCGATGCCCGGGGCAGTGCGGGTCCGGGAGCGGTGGCACCGCGTTGGACGTCCCCGGCGCCGAGTGTTCGTGCCAGTGCCTGCCGCGGCTACCCATCTTCCGTGACGACCTGCACGTCTGCGTCGACGACATCCACGGTGAGCGTGCTCTGCTAATCATGGGCCAGCACCCTTCCTTTATTCCCCATCGTTCGTCTCCGACGCAAATATTACTTCCGCTGTGGATGAGCAAAAGCTGCATTGCGGCTGTGCGACAGATCCGCCTGCGGTCGGGTCGGGTACCCGCCGGCCCGGCCGGGGGATAGGCTTTTTCTTTTTCAACTTTTCTTTCACTTTCACTCGCCGCATGGCACACCCCCTGGCCCGCCCCGCCGCTGACCAGATCTGTTGTCGCTTCTCCTGCAGAGTGCAGCCTGGTCCCGTTCGTGAGCGGCTCCAGCTCGCAGACGGTGCCGTTCGTCTTCCTGCCCCTCAAGGGACAGATCGTCTTCCCGAGCGCTGAAATCCAATTCCCAGGTGAGAAGAGCGCGGCTCTCGCCAGTGCCAGCTCCAAGTTTTTCACCCCTGCCCTGTTAACGCTGCTTCTAACTTTGCCTCCGTTCTCTCCAGGCAACAGCTCGCCGATATGCGTGGTATCCGGGGCGCGCTTCCTGGCTCGGGCCGGCTGGGTGGACATGCGCAACCACACGGACACGGAGCCGCCCCTCCGGCTGCTCAGGGACAACGGCCGCAGCTACCTCCAGGTACGACCCCGACGCCCCCCCCCCCAAACCCCGTCATGGTTTTCGAATAAAATAAGATTATCCTAACGCGGTTGTAAATGGCAGCCATTCCCGCGACTATTTCGTGTAGCACGAGCTCAGAGATCCCCGCCCGCTCTTAAAACTAACGCCTCTACTACTTGGTTTTTAAGGCCTAGGCCCTCGGGGCGTCAACGCCTTCCTACTTCGTGTTGTTAAGGGCCTTAAAAACTGGAGCATGCGACGCGGTGCAGCGGCGGCGCCGGCGGCCAGCCCGTCCCGTCCGGGCAGCTGTCCAAGCGGACGCCCCGCCCCGCCCTCCTCCTGGCCCCCGTCGGCCGCGGACTCTAGAAAAACCGGACTTCCCTCGGCCCAGCATGCGCATGGCGCATCCTCGCCCTGAAACTGTTATGGGACACTTTTGGGTAGCGCTGCACAACCGCCTGGGAACGTCACCCCTCCACTGCGGAGTCCACTTTTTTCTTCTTTACTTTGCTGTCAGTTTTTCGATAAGCTTGACAAGATAGGGGAGAGAGTGCGGGGGGAAGAAGGTTTGTGTGTGCATTTGCCTCGGAACTGCACGAGGTGTCCACCCGGGAGCTTTCTCTCGTCTGCTGAGCCCGAAGCGAGCCAGCGCCGCCAGAGCCGCGGACCACGCCGGTCGCCCGACCACGCGGCCCTAGACTCGCCCGTCCGACGGGCGAGTCCGTTGGGCTGCCTACCGTCTAGGCGTCCCGGTGGTCCCTGCCTCAACGCCCTCCTCAACTTCTACAGAGCCGATTGTCTTTCATGTTGCAGTGGCTGGGCGAGCCGCACCTGAGGAGGTCCATGGAGGGCCGTTTGCTGTTGGTGCAGCTCATGTGCAAGGAGGAGCAGTCCTTCTTCACGCCCTGCGTCGGACTGCGCGTCGCGGGCACGCCGAGTAAGAGCCCACATTTTGTTAATTGCGCAAACCACTGCTTTTCGGGTCTTTGATAGTGTATCAAAGTGTACTAAATATTGCCCGCTGACGCGTCTCCACAGGCAGCTTCAGTGGCGTCCGCGAGGTTTCCTTCTCGCCGGTGAGCGGCGGTAGCAGCGGCGGCGCGGGGTCCTCGGACGCGTGGAGCTCCGGGGCGATGGGTGCGGGCTGGATGGTCGGCGCGTCCGGCGGCCTCCTCGGCCTCGCCTACGTGCTGGCCGCGCTCGTCTACATGCGGGCGCGGCGCCGCAAGAACTCCAAACGGCGCGAGCGGCAGCTGGCGGGCGTGGCCGCGGCGCGCATGGAGGAGGGCCACGACACCCGCGACGGCCGCGACAACGGCGCCTACCTCGCGACCAGCTCGGCCGAGTCGTCGTGCTGCTCCGAGTCGGACGGCGAGACGCCGGCCTCGGACAGCGGCATGAGCCACGGAGACCGGCGCGGCCACGGCGACCTGGCTCCACACGGCCTCGTGTCCGTCGTGGTGCACGGCAGCCCCGGCCGGGGCGAGGGGCTCAGCGGCAACCTGGACCACTACCTCCTGCAGGACTCGGCCGGCATCGAGCGTCTGCCGGAGGAGGACGTGTCCATCGTGGAGACGCTGGACACGGAGCGACCGGACGCCGTACGCGCGATGGCTGGTCCGCCCAGGAGGAAGCTCTACTTCAACCCGGCCTACTTCGACCCGGAGCTGCTCGCTGTAAGTGGCCACCAGGAGACTGAAGTGCCCCTAGAGTCATAGATTGTTCATGTGTAAACCAATGTCGTCTGTTGCAGGCACCACCACCAGCTGCGCTCGAGTTTCTGTCGAAGATCAGGGAGGTCATCGGGATGGCCAAGCACAAGATGGCAGCCAAGAGATTCGCGCCCAGTCTGGTGCAGATTCCCGAAGAAGACTCGATAGCGACGACGCCCGAGCAGGTGCGCCCCAAAGCCAAGGCGCCGTCTAGGACGCCGTCAATAGCGCGGCCCTCCTCGCCGCCCGCGCCGCCACCGGGTCCCACTTCCCCCGGTTGCCCGGGCTGCCCCGGCTGCACGGCCGCCCAGCTGCCCCCGCCCCTCAACACCTCGCCAAACACGCCCCTGCCGCTGGGCTGCACCGTGTGCGCGGGCGGGCCGCACTCCAAGCAGCAGCACATCCGCAAGTGGCTCGAGGAGGTAGGACCGGGGGACAACATTCCGAGCGTGAGGGCGCGTGTTCTGTCTATGGCACTGTATTAACCCTGGTCAACTTTTGCAGGTTCGCGCACCCCGGAACGGAGAAATGGATGACTCCGGGTCGGTGAAGAGCGAGGGCTCGGTGTACGGCCCCGTGACGCCGCTGAGGACGCTGGACAGGCCGGGTGGCGGCAGTTTCCGCCAGCCCAGCGCCGAGCACGGCCGCCAGGGCGCGAGCGCAACTGTTGGGGCCGGAAGTCGCCGGAAGTCGGCGCCGCGCACCCCGGCAAAGTACATGCTGGAGAACATGCGCGCCGCGCGACTGGAGGCCATCGCGCTGGAGGCTGAGAGCGGGCATGTCGCGCATAGCAAGGGGGCGGCCCCGCCGCCGCCCAGGCCCGCCGAGCACCCCGTCAAGGGTCTGCCGCCGAGGGTGCCGCTGCGCAAGCCTGCCAGCGCCGACCTCAACAACAACAGCGGAAAACACGAAGACGCCGCCCCCTCCAGGGTTATGGCGGAGGACAACAGCTTCCGGAGCAGGTCCGGTAGCGTGAGCAACGGCGGCGTCCGGGAGGAGGGCGGCTTACGCAGCAGGAGCAACAGCGTGAGCAGGCCGGCTGAGGCCCAGGCTGCCGAGGCCAGCCGAGTCAGGAACGGGAGCATCAACGTTAGCATTAGGAACAATAAGTTAAGCAGCAACGTCACTAGTAGTAGCAACAGTATTAGCAGTCATAAGGAGGCCGGCGAGGAGGGCCAGTTCCGAGTCAGAAGCCATAGTGTAAGCAACGCCAAGGAGGGCGGCGGCGTGGCCAGGCCCAGGGAGCCCGACGGCGGCTTCAGGACCCGCAGCGCCAGCGTTACCAACCGCGTGCACGTGTCGGCCGAGGACTCCATCGTGCGCAGGAACGCGATGCACTCGCCGCCGCCTCCGCCGCCCACAGCCGCGCCCGCCACGGACCCGGCGCCCGGCCTCGTCGCACAGCAGAAGGAGGCCCTCGCGCGCAAGCTGAGCGTCGCCGCCCCAGCGCCGCCACCGCCGCAGGCGTCCGCGCCGCGGGGTAGGAGCGCCCCCTCGCCGCCCCCACCGCTCCCGCCCCCGGTGGCGGCCGCGGCCGACAAGCCCGAGGTGCCGAAGCAGCTGATGGACGCGGTAATCAAGGAACTCGTGGTGCAGAGGGGGCTGGAGACGGTCGCCCCCAAGCCGCCGGCGCCCGCGCCGCCGCGGCCCGTGGAGACGAAGAGCGTCCCGCAGCTACGGCAGTACCACAGCCTGGGCGCCGACCCGGGCCACGGCGCATCCACGCCCTCAGAGTACGGCGACCTCCCGGTGCGGCCCGGTGCGCTGGCAAACGGCCTGCAACGACTGCAGAAACAGCAGCAGAAACACGCTACCAAGCCTGCCCAGGACGACGACAACGAGTACGAGATCATCGTGCTGAGCCCGGAGCCGCCGCCCATCCTGACGGACCTCAAGGACAAGGACAAACAACAGCCATACAGCCTGCCAAACTTCCTGACCAACAGCGAGGGCTACAGCCTAGTCAGCGAGGTGTACGTCAACGACAACTACAGTTTCAGCAGCAGCGGCAGCGCGGACAGCGGCGGCGCTAGTTGCGGCCCCTCGCCATCCCCGACGCACTCGTCGTCGGCGTCCTCCGAGAATAACAGCGCGGCCGAGAAGAACATCAAGTACTCGGACAAGCAGCCGGGTCACCTCACGATCCAGGTCGACGACTCGCCCAACAACAAACGTCACGAACCGGAGGCCGACAACTTCGAGCCCGACACCCTCGACCGAAAGGCCATCACCAAGGTGCGCGCGCATCGCCTGGGCTCCAATGCGTCCGAGTCCAGCATGCAAAGCGACATCGCAGGCCACGACGCGTACGTGGACTCTCTCGAGCGCCCCGGGCAGCACCTCTTCCTGCGCACGGCCGGCAGCTTCCGCTCGGACCCGGTGTCCCTCCCCGTGCAGCAGCAGCAGCACCTGCCGGCGTGCGGCAGCCACCTCAACGCCACGGCGCCGTCGCCGTTCAACCGGATGTTCGGGTCGCTCCGGGAGATCTATGAGTCGCGGGCGCGTTGCCGCGCCGCGGACGCCTCTGCCATCGGGCAGCACTGCGGCCAGTCCCAGAGCCTGCACGGCAGCCTCCACGGTAGCCTTCACGGAAGCATCCACGGCAGCATGCACGGCAGCGTCCACGGCAGCATCCATGACAGTCTACATGGCAGCCTCCACGGCGGTAGCCTCCACGGCGGCAGCCAATACTCGGACACGGACTGCACATCGGTGGCCTCGTCCTCGAGGCGCTCGACGCGCTCCGCCCGGTCGGCGCAGACCAACGGATCGTCGACGCGGCCCTCCAAGCAACGCCACCGCCAGAGGTACCCGTCGCCGCCGCGTGGAGCGACCAAGTCCGGCTCCAACAAGCGGCGCAAGTCCAAGGGTGCGTCGTCGGCCACCCAGGAGACCCGCGCGCCCCCGCGGCCGCCGCCCCTGCGCCCGCCCAAGCCCAAGCCGCCGGCCGCGCCGCCCGCGGACAACTCGCTGTACCAGGAGCCGCCGCCCCCGCGCCCCGTCAACGAGCGCGACCCTAGTGCCGGCATGGGCCCGGACCGGCCGCCGCTGCCCCCGCGCAACCCCAAGCCCACCCTGCCGCCCAAGCAGACGGGGTCCTCGTCGACCTCCAGCAAGCGGCAGCAGAACCCCGCGCACCGCCCCCTGCCGCCACTGCCGCCGCTGCCGCCCCGCGGCCCCGGCCTGGATCAGGACCTGGACGCCATGTCGGCCGCCTCGGCGGACAGCCTCAACTCGTCCGACTACGAGGCCTTCTACTCCATGCCCATGTCCAGCCCGCCGCCGCCACTGCCGTGCGTCAAGGGCCAGTTCATCCTGCAGGCCAACAAGGGCAGGCCGTCGGTGTCGGCGGCCTCCTCCCCCGCGCAGCGGCGCAAGCAGCGCGACCGCGACCGGGATCGGGACACCTCCGACGCTGGCTCAGAGAAGGCCGCCTCCTACAGCGGGACCACCTTCTTGCAGGTAAGAATTGGCGTGCCATGCCATTGGGCGTTCATGTCATACGACTGTATCGCAGCTTTGGGAACACTCATGCGACTTTCTATGTTCCGCAGGAGACGCAGCTCCTGGGCGTCTCACGCGGCCGCATCGGCAAGGACCTGATGCGGCACCTGCGCGACAAGCGCGGCTCCGACTCGGTCAAGAAGTCGTGGCGGAAGGTGGTGGACCGGTCCAACGCGCACCCGATCCTCTGCCCCGTGCTGCCGCACAAGCCCGAGGACTCGGGATACCTCAGCACAGACTCGAACGAGTCCAAACGGAGGCTTAGCATCGGCCTCGGCAGCGCGCTTAGCAAGGGCCAGAGCCAGGGCAGCCTCAGCGAGACCGACGGCGACGAGTCGCTGTGCGACGGCGCCTCCGAGTCCGGCGGCGAGAGCGTGGCGACCGACTCATTCTTCTTCGGGAGCTTCCGGGGCGCCCCGGGTAGCGGCGCCTCGACGGACAGGAGAAGGAGCGGGGCGTCCGGGAGCGGTACGGGCAGCAGGAGAAGCAGCGTGGTGCTCATGCCCCAGTGACTGGCTGATATCAATGATTGATTGATTTATTTATTGATTAGTCGATTGGTTCATCGACTGGTTGATGGATCAAAAACTGTGCTCATAATAAAATAAT